TTGGTATGGTTCCAGTACATTCTGGAGGTAGATGGGGGCCATACCATTTGTCGCCTTGTAGGTCAGGAGAAGAATTTAAAATTTGATTCTAAACTCCACAGGAAGCCAGTGGAGCGCTTTCAACACTGGCGTTATATGTTCCCTTCTTTTAGTGCCTGTCAGGACCCTTGCGGCTGCATTTTGGACTAGCTGGAAGCCGTGTATAGTGGATTTGGGACACGCTGCTAGGAGAGCGTTGCAGTAGTCAAGTCTTGACGTAACGAACGCATGGATAAGCTTTTCAGCATCACTTCGCGGCAGGATACCTCTAATTTTTCCAATATTTCGCAGATGGAAGTGGGCCGTTTTCTTTGATTGATTTACATGTGCTCGAAAGGAAAGCTCTTGGTCAAATATGACCCCTACATTTCTTACCGTGTCACTGGGGGAAATACTGACGTTGACGAGCATAGTGACCTGGTCGCGGAGAACGTCACGCATGCTTTTAGGACCTAGGACAAGTACCTCTGTTTTGTCAGGGTTGAGAAGCAGGTAATTCAAGGTCATCCAGGTCTTTATGTCTTTAATGCAGGCACTAAGTCTATCTATCGTGTTTGTTTGGTTTGGTCTCACCGATAAATAAAGCTGCGTGTCGTCTGCGTAACAGTGAAAGTTAATGTCATGGTTTCTGATAATATTTCCTAACGGTAGCATATAAAGTGTAAACAAAACAGGACCTAGTACTGATCCTTGAGGCACACCGAAGGCCACTTTAGAACAGAGTGAGGATTTTTGGTTCACACTCACAAACTGGAACCGATCTGATAAATAGGATTCGAACCAGTGAAGTGCTGTTCCTCTGACACCTACAGTATGTCACATTCTAGCCTCTGTAATAGTATCTTATGGTCTATCGTGTCAAATGCGGCGCTGAGGTCTAGCAGAACCAGCACTGACACCAGTCCGTTATCGGCGGCTAGTAAAAGATCATTCGTGACATTAACTAATGCGGTTTCTGTACTGTGATGAGCTCTGAAGCCTGTTTGAAATTGTTCTGCCAAGTTATTGTCCCGTAGATGGAGGTGTAGCTGCTCGGCTACAACTCTTTCAAGAATTTTTGAAATAAAGGGGAGATTGGAAATGGGTCTGTAATTGGCAAGCAGGTAGGGATCAAGATTAGGTTTTTTGAGAAGTGGTTTGATTACTGCAGCGGTTTGATTACTGCAGCTTGAAATGATTTTGGAACGTAGCCACTTTCGAGTAAGGTGTTTATTACTGTATGCTTGAAATAGAGTTAATTATTAGCGGAAGAGTATCTTTAAGAAGTCCAGTTGGAATTGGATCTAAAATGCAAGATGATGTCTTAGAGGATGCAATAGCTGAGATTATTTTGGCTTGGCTCACGGTACTGAACCTGTTCAGGGTTACCAGAGGGTCCGAATCTGACAATAATGACACAGTTTGGCCCTGCTCCTTGCTAATGGAGGGAATCGTCTCATCCAGTTTATTGCGAATTTTTGTGATCTTGCAGTTAAAGAAATTCAGAAATTCATCGCTACTAAGGGTAATTGGCACCTTTGGTTCCACATAATTATGGCAGTTTGTCAGCCTGGCTACAGTGCTGAACAAAAACCCAGTGTTGTTTTTATTTGCTTCAATTAATGTTGAGTAGTAATGTGTTTGAGCCTTGCGAAGGGCATTTTTGTAAATTATGAAGCACGTTCTCCATTCCCTGTGAGATGCCTCCGAGTTAGAGTGGCGACTCAGTCTCTCCAGTTTTCTAACCTTCTGCTTCAAAGTGCGCAGTTCAGAATTGTACCATGGGGAGGAATGCCTTTGCCTGATGGTTTTTTGTTTTGTTGGAGTGACTACGTCCAACGCCATTTTTAGTGCGTTCATAGTGCCGTCCACAAGTTGGTCACATTCCGTAGGATTTAGACTACTCAGAGCAGGCTCACTTGAGCCTGCTCTGTATGAAGTCTGTATTTCGGCTAAACTCTCAAATCAAGTTATTTTTTTATTTATTAATGAGATTAAAAACAGTTAAACTGAATGAAACCAGGGGAGATTCGATCCTCCATTTTAACGCCTGTTCCTCCAGTATTTTTTAACACAACAAAGCGTTTTGTGACATATCTGCTATTACTGTATCCTTATTGTAGATCCTGCTCATCCCTCACTCAGTCGAAGTGAGTTGTTTTTACTGTTAAACAATAAAAGCACAGACAGAGAAGTCATTCCTGTCTCTCACAATGTCTTCTTTACAAACAACAAACCGGAACCCAGCAGTAAATATTCATAGTGTTTCCGATTTAGTTCTAAAAGTGCACCATCATTTTTGTCTTTCCCCAAAACATCCATATCTGTTCCACGAGCCACTGTAGATAGGCTTCTGTGCGTGCTCTTAGAATCTGCATAGTTGGCACCCTGACTTTCTAATATATGCAGAACTTATCCAACATTTTTCACTGCTCTACATTCACCTCACATTGTGGCTTTCTAAACCATAGAGACAGATTTATACCAAGACTAGCGCTTGGGTTGAACACTTTGTTTTTCTTACAGACGGTGCCTTTTTAATGACGCACATAACGAGACCAGACAGAGAATTAATATAAATTATAAGGGGTCGTGGCGTGCCTACAAACTTGTCTTCATTAATAGGTGTGCGACAATATCATTTTGGCCGGTGCAGTCTTTGCCAAGAGGTTGATAGAATGTGAATGGGTTCGTCAATGAGTTATTCTTTTGTTTTGCTGCATAATTAGGTTGCAATAAAGCTTTATGATGGAAGACAGGAAGGCGTATGGTAAAATAAAACTGCCCTAACACCCTCTGGGACGTGGAGTATTGGGTTATTTCAATATTGGAGAGTGCTGCTGAAACCCTTACCATGTGGTTTTTTATATGTATATGCTTCACTCTCTTATTGATTTGGACGATGATGAAAGACTATAGGGCAGGTGGAGAGGTCTAAAAGCCGGCCTAAACAGGTTAAAGTCGGACATGGAGGGCGACCGGGAGCCGAGATGATCACGCGCTGCAGTGGTGAGGGTATGTATAATCCCTTTATGGAAGTATCCGAGCGCACTGGGAGCAGAGAGCTCACTTCTCATTCTGCAGACGTTCATTTAAACTGAGAGCATTAATCCTATAGTTCTGTAAGAGCTGGAGAGGTTTCTTTCAACTTTTATCCCAGTGAGTGGAACCTGTCACTGCTGATTGTTCTGCTGAGTTACAGGTGCACGTTTTTTTACTTCTCTGATGACTGTGGCATTAGCTATTAGTTATATCTTGAAATGAAGTTAGTAAGTGAACATTTTGTAAAATCCCAAATACAAAACTAGTGCAACAATATATTGTATTTTAAAACATTAAAACACAAAGATATTTTTCAACATTTTTCAGACATTTAAGAGGTGTACGTTTAAGGCCTTACTTTATAATTATAATAATATTATCATAATAATTAGCACTTTTCACAACAATTATTTCTACAATCTTTTCATTTGCTGATTGGAAAGTAGATTTGACCTATTTATTGGAACAAAGTGAATCGCCATCACTGTGTGAGAAGTGAATAGAAAATATAGCAATATATATATATATACACAATGCGCTTTGTGTGCTCTGTCTGAGAAAAGTGTGACGTGAATAACAGACCAGACCCGTGTTTTTTGTAAAAATATTGTGTCGACTCAATACAACAGTGGGGAACAGAGGTTTCCCACTGTTGGGGAAGACAGGACGTTAGGGGAAGACAGGAGCGTGTCAAGTCCCAGGACCCCAGAGAACTGCTTTATCATGGACTACAGCAATCATTAGAGCCGCAGCTAATGTTTATTTTCTTATTGATTAACATCAACATTTTCAAACACATTTGTTGATGAGGAGGCTGCATCTGTTGCATGAGCACATGTAAGATCTTCACTCTTGTTCTTATGTTTTCTTCCATCACTTTGCTTAAGTATGTCTTTTATCTGTTGGCGTGTTCATTGTGATGCTTCCCTCTGTCCACAGAAGTCCTGCCCAGTGGGGGCGGGTCCCGGCACAAAAGTGGCCAAAATGACGTGCGCTGACATGGTACAATACCACCCCAGGCTGATGGGGGTGGATTTGGCATAAGAATTATTCAATGCTAATGTATAGCATTAGCTGACCTCTCGTCGGCTCTTGGCCCAAAGCCACGTCCCACATGTGTCAATGCTGAGGAGAGGGAATTTTTTTGGACCAGTCTAGTTTAGTCGCTGTGAAATTTTGAAGGCACTCGTTCAAATGAATGGGCTCGTGCAGCTGACGCATGCGCAGATGCGTTTTTTCACATTTTCCAGCCCCTGCGGCCATTTTGAAACTGCCCATAGACCACGGAAGTTATGGCACATTTGTTAGAACGGCGGAGATAGGCGTGACTACGTCCGTTAATATATACAGTCTATGGTCCTGCCCCTGCCCCATTCCCCTGCCCCTGCACCCTTCCCCTGCAGCTTTCGCCCGCCGCTGTCATCTGTCTTTGTTCCTCTCTGACGTTATATATCAGAGCCGAGATAAATGCAGTTAATAGACTGTGACACGGCCATTAACTAGCGCTGTAATAGAAGTGTAATGGAATCTAACCGTCTCCACCTCGACGCCGGCCGCCACAGGTAAATGTTTCAAGACCCGCACCTGTCTTTTCCTCTGCGCTTCTGTTGTTAGTTTTGCCTTTTATCTTTTATTTTCCCCTCCCTTCCCTTACCACCATCACAGTTGCCCTTGAACCAACATCAGGCCTTCGTCTAGCATCAAAAGGCCCTGCAAGATAAAAGTACCCAATTGTCCATTTTGTGATACTGACCAGACAGATCCACTGATGTCTGCTTTTAATGCCCCTCGTCTTGGGAACAGAGAAGGGTGGAAAAAGCCACGTTGCTGCCCACACTATCCTATCCTGCGAGTTGCCATTGTACTCCGTCTGAAATTACCCTATTGATTGGCAAAGAAAAAAGGCCGTTTATGGTGTAGCTCTTGAGTTACAGGGGATAATGGAAGTCGTGTTATGCACCGAGGTAGACAGAAAATCTTTGGAAAGAGGAGAGCAGTCATATCTGCAAAATGATCACATCCATGGACGTTCACGAGCAGCCTCTGAGCCGCTGTCAGGACGCCACGCCATTTTTCACCATGTGCCTCAAATTATTTTCACTATTTATGGATAAATCACATCAGACCTCGTTCATTTGTTTTTCGGAGCTAGTCTTATAACGTTACATGCTTCATTTATTGTGTCTGCTTTCTCCTGAAAATTGTGCGCTGCATTGCATTAGGCATCTATTGGAACACACAACACACATTTACATACGCACACACACCCAGACATTTACATACACATGTACACAAACAAACACACATTCATTGACACACACACTTACCTACATTCATTCGCATAAACACACACACATACACTCTTCCATTTATAGACACACACACACACACACACTTCCATTTATAGACACACACACACACACACACACATCCATAGATACACACCTACTGTACATTCATAGACACATGCACACATATCCGCATACACACACACACACACACACTTCCATTCATAGACACACACAATGCACACATTTAGAAACAGACGCAATACACACAAACACACATTCACATACACACACATTCATAGACACACACAGGGACACAACATAAACACACATCCGCACACACACACACTTCCATTTGTACACACACACACACACACACACACACACACACACAGTGCTTCACAGCAAGAAGGTCCTGGGTTCGATTCCATGTCCAGACCGTTGTGTGTGGAGTTTACATGTTTTCCCCTTGTCTGTATAGGTTTCCTCCAGGTGCTCCGGTGTCCTCTGGGTGCTCCGGTTTCCCCTACCGCTAAAAACATGTGCAATAGATCTGGCATGGGCCTTCTGTGCGGCGACCTGCTCCATCTCTGTGTGGAGTGGGAGACAAATGCCCAAGAAACGCTTTGTGACTCTGGATTGTGAAAGGCGGTATATAAATAAACTACAACTAAACTAATAAATACTTACTTACACACATTCACACACACATTGCGTTTGTTAAAGTTTTTTTCTAAACATAAATGTGTAAATAAAAAATGCGAGGAAAGAGTAGTTTAAAGCTACTCCGTGAAATAAGCCAAAGCAAAGCCATAATGATGGAAACAAGCAGGTGCCTGTCTCCGAGCCCAACAGTAATACAAGTCTTAATCAAACCGTTTAAAGTTGATGCTCTTGGTTACTACAGTGGATCTTTTTTATCTAATGCTTCTGCAATTCTGCATAGAATTACACTGCAGTTATAGTGGTATGTGCATTCAGTATTATTGCCATAGCAACACAGTCCTTTTATGATCGACAACCAATAAGATGTCTCACTCCTGAATATATCAGTGAACAGTCTTGCCTTTTTCTTGAAAACTAACTTGGTTTTTAAGAGGCTTACATTTTTTGAGAATAATATTATCATTTTAAATGACATCTTTGGCCGACATCACAATGAGTGGCTGGTGTTGTGTTCTGTGTTTGAAGGACTTAAGCAAATGTTTTTTTTAAATCTACTGTGGACGTCTTCTTTTCATTGCACAGGGCTATACTTCTGACCTGTCCTTGCCTGACTTAATGACCATTCATTCATTAGGATGTTTTGACACACTTGCAAGGGCCACTCTAGTCTTTCAATCCAGATTCCCACAATCCTTCATCTCAGCAGTCGATCCTGACCCAACACTGTCAATCCTGCTGCATCCCTGTGTGCACAGAGAGCCCACATCCATCTGCTCCCACGTCCGCTAAACCTTTATTGATGGCCGCGCTGTAACAAGATCCGCCCTTGACCAGCCAGCGCCTCAGCAGCACTCACGGCTAAACCAAGAAATGTTTTTAAAAATTAAACACTGTAGATACGCCATGCACTGGTTATCGAGCCTTTGGAGGTGCTTTGTGTAAAAATACCCCCTCTCGGATTACAAAAGGAGAGAAATGTGCAGAAAAGATAAGATTCAGTGCATGAGTGTTTTTTGTGGCATTGGCCTTGAAGGGCAGTATTGAATGTCAGCGGCTTGTGAAGCAGTTGATGAGATTTTTTGTCAGAAACAGCTTGCATGATGGGGAAATGTATCTATTGGAAAAGTTTTGTGTAAACAAGAGCAAAGCAGGTGTGAAACTTGTGAGGTTATTGGACAGGGGCGTTATGCTCTCTAACGTTTTGTGATGATAATGTGGAAATACGCAGAGCCCTGTCCAGCTGAGAGCAATCAAAGTGTGATATGTGAATTTGGGCCGGTGAATGTTTACCACTCAGCCTCTGATTAAGCAGATTCACCTGTTTCCACCGCGTGTGGACATGGCGTCATTACCTGCGCTGATTAAAAGTGAGTGAGAGGAGATGGTCCGCAGCCCTCTGCACCTGCTGCTCTCACCAACACTGACTTCACTTTGTATCAAAGAGCATCGTGTGACCGTCTGGGCTTCAATCTGGAACAAAGGTAACCCACTCGTAACCCAAACCCAAGTGAAATAATCAAGCATGTTTATATAATGTAAAAGGTAAGTCAAGAGCACTTACTTACAGCTACTTCAAAGTACAGTGATTATTTACTATATCTGAGTGAAAGTATAGTGTTGTAGGAGTCAAATCTAAACGTTAGCGGCTCCTTCATGGGTTGGGGCTCTCGGCCTACAACATGTAAGGAACTGAAACTCATGGATAACTCGCAGTGTTAAATGCTTGTGAATGTCACTTAATTTTGTTATTCTTTTTTGTTTGTACAATGTATAATCTTTCAGTTTTGTCCTGCTGTCTTTGGACCCCCTTGGAAAAGAGATGTTAAATCTCAAAGAATTATCCCTAATATTAAATCAATACATTCTGTCCCTCTACAACCTAAAGCGCTCTAAGACTGTGATGAGTTGTGATAAAATTGTGACACCATGAATGAGTGATGGTGGTCGGGGGGGGGACTGTGGCCTCTGTAGTAGTTTACCACCTTCGTGCAGTGAATGAATTTTTATGATTACATTTTCATAGTAGTACTTTTCATACAAAATTACGACACAAAGCTGACTCGTCAACCCGACCATCTCACAGACCCACCCCAAACCTCATTTATGAAGAATAAACACGTACACAGACCTCCACCAGGGCCATGAGCCACACCCCACAGCCACAGACCACCTCTCTAAAACTAAACAATGAACAGTAAATTAGTAAAAGAACTACAGCACAATACTTAACAATAATAAATCATAATAAAACTAAATAGTAAATACATTTTCTCTAATGGATACATGGAATATATAGAATTCAATAATAAATTATAAATATGCTTGTACTTTGAGTATTATTAATCAATACACATTTGTTTGACCACAGTTCATTTGTTCCAGTGTTATCTGTTTAATTGCTGCTGGTGAGGAGTAGACTGTTATTAAATGCTCTTGCAAGTCCTGCTTTTGAGCACACCAACTTTACATGAGTTTTGAGATATAAATGAGAACAATTTCCATTTATCTAACTGTGAAGTCATAAATCCCTTGTAACGGCGCATATGTTCTTCTCCGATCTTGAGGATTTGGTGTTTGTTTATGAGAAAAGTCAAACTCTGTGTCGTGGACCTCTGTCATCAGACCTCCTCCCTCAGCTGAGAACTAAATCAGAGCGGGCTTGTCCTTCCTCCACTGTCCCTCATCAGTGTTACGAGTCATTGCCCGGCAGAGCACAATCCCCCGCCGCTCCGCTGCCCGGGTGTGCGTCCGTGTGTTTGTGTGTGTGTGTGTGTGTGTGTGTGTGCGTCCGTGTGTGTGTGTGTAGGATTTAGTGACTGGTAAATGATGTCATCCACAGTGCACACTCAAGGCCCCGGCTCGCTCCTGTCAGAACTCTTGTTAGTCAGACAGATGGAGAATTACTGTCTCGAAAATTGTGGTCACGCTGCATTCAATACGCAGGTGCCTCACGGTGAACGGTTTCTAGTAAAAAAGCAGTTGTATTTCCACACAAGCTTTCGCACAAAAACTAACAGCAGAAGCTTATGAAGATAACACTTGGAGTAGACCCATTGTTCAGAAAATACAGAAGCAATAAACGGCAAAACTGTCTTTGTCAATATCAAAGTAATTTAAATGTTGAAACAGCTGTCTCTCCCTTAAATTTAGATTATAAAAACAATCTTGTCATGGTTTGGATTTATTTCCGGTTTTGTATTTTGTTGACCCGTGTGTCTTCTTTAGTTACTTCTTGTTGTCTGATTACTTGCCCCGCCCTCTTGTGTTCCCCCGTGTCTCTTTAGTCCAGTATTTAACCCCGTGTATTCCATGTTCCATCATTGTCATTCCTTGTCGGTTTTAGTTCCTGTCTTCAGTCCGTCTTTGATAAATTTTTGTGTATATTATTAAATGCATTATTTTAGATGTTCTGCTTTTTTTTTTTTACTTACCGCCATGACAAATCTTTTTTCCAGTAGCTTAAATTTGCTTTCCTAAACATTCTGGCTTTACATCTCTTTACACTGCCCCAACTTGTTTTTTGCTCCTGTACCTTGTTAGCATTTTATTTATGGACCTTTCAATATTTACGGTAGGGCTGCTTCCCCGTAGGCAGCATTTTGGATGCAGCGAGACAGTCTAGAAAGCGTTGGCATCATTACAAGGACAGAAAGAGCCAACACTGCACAAAATTCACCCTGTTCAGTCCATGCCTAAAATAAGAAGAGGTTGTGTGCCAGAAAAGCAGTATCTTCTCCACAAACTGGCATCAAGACGATCTCATATGTAATGCATGTGTAGAGCGACATGACGCATTAGCTTTCATGTTGGCGCCGACATGCATACTGTGCAGTCATTTGCTGGCACAGAATGGAGCGAGCGCTGTGAAAAGCAAGTAGTCACACATTCACTTGGCGGTGTACTCGCTGAATTAGATGCAAATGTGCCTTTGGGCCCAGCCGCACAGAGCCCGACGCGATCAAAGCCTTTTCAAAGACTCCACTGTGTGAGGCGCTCTGAAATCTGCTCCCCTTAACAAGACACTCAATAGGGACAAGGGCATTTTAATTACCTTTTTGTGCATAGAGGATTACGAGAGTGAATGTACAGTCTTGGACAGGCTTAGGTCTTGAAATTGTAAGAGTATAGTAGCATGTGGTAAAAGGTTTTTCCATTGAACCTCCACAAACACTAAAACTCATCATAAAGCTATTATGACATATAGAATTCTCGAGTTCTATACATTCTATAGAATGTATAGAACTTGCTTTTAACTTGCCCAAAAATTGAAAAACAGAACTAGTTTGCAATGATTATTCACCTCCTTCCTAATGCCTTTTTAGCGATAGCATTTGATGAATACAAAGAAATACATTACCATCATGTCACAGAACGTGAATGCGCAGTGGTGCAGTGGTTAGCACTCGTGCGTCAAGGTTTGACTCCACAATACACTCCTACAATAGTTCAGGGTGAAGGAGCGTGAGCTTGTTGAGTGCAGTGGGACTACAGACGATCTGCTGAATTATTAACACACTGTCACATCCAAATGTGCAATGTTGGACACGTTACTTTGAAAAAGTCATTAGTTATAGTTACTTGTTACTCCTCCCAAAAAGTAACTGAGTTACTAACTGAGTTACTCCACTATAAAAGTAACTAGTTACCAGTACAAGTAACTATTGACTAACTGTCAATAAAGTGACAATAATTATGTGTCACTTTTGTTGCACATAATTATTGTCACTTTATTGTACATATATGTCCTGCATGTAACATGTTTGCACATTTCCTCCTTTTGCACAATCTGAGTGTCTCTATCCATGCCAAATGTGACATGTAAATTTCTCCTATGTGAGATAAATAAAGCACATCTTATCTTATCTTATTTATTGCTATCGTTTTTCGCCCCCGTAACACCCCCCCTGGCACCTTCTCAGTGTGTGTTTCATAAGCCAGATGAATAGAGTGCACGACAACAAAGACAAGTACCTGCAGAGGTTTGCATTTATTGCAACTCAACATAAATGACAGTGGATGGACATACACTTCTCAAAACCCGACGTGCACATTTTTACCTTTAACCTCAGTGAGTTTGAAATAGTACCGATATTTCCATCTGGAAAAGGCTGTTTTGCTGCTGGAGTCCTCCTCACTCTCCATCTCTCTATGTGTGCTGTAAGCACTAAACAGCCGCCACTATGAATGCAGAAACACCCACCTACCCAATTTCTCTGATTGGATGAAGTAAAAAAAAAGGTTCATTGTGCGACTTGAGAAACGGGGTGTCGGCAATGGTAACGGCGTTGTAGTTAGTCATTGTAATTAGTTAAATCACTCGTTACTGAAAAAAGTAACTGTGTTAGTAACGTATTTCAATGCCATTATTCCCATCACTGCAAATGTTGCTTATTTAATAACAGAGTAATGTACGCTGATAAATAGTGTAAATCGTATACATATATGGCAGGATAAAATAGATAAAACATTCTGAAATTGCAGCATTACACATTACTGCAGTATTGAGAAACTCTAGATGAGATCTCACAGTCTGTACAGTCTGGCAACAGCCGGTTGGAAAGACCTGCGCAACCTCTTCTTCACATATCAAGGGTGAGTAACACCGTCCACCTTTGGGTTCTGATCACCAGGGTACAAGGAGGCCACAACAGTTACAAGTTTAAAATGATTTATTACAAGAGTCTTTAAAAAGTATGATTAAAACCAGGGGCGATAAAAGCTATTCAGGTTAAAATCAGAGGGGAGAGGCTGGAGTCTAAAACTTCAAGATATCAGGGTCCAGGCAATGAAGCAGTTTGGGTTTGGGTTTGGAGAGGAGAAGGTGCACTGAACTTTTAAAGGAGGAAGTACCGCCCACCACCGCTGCCGACTAATTAAAACATGGCCATTGGCCCACGGCAAAAAAGAAAGAACACACCAAGAAAACCACATCCAAACTCAAAGTGGCAGTGTAGTGAAATTTGTACCCTGTACAGGTGGATAAGTCTGTCGCTAAAGCTACTGCAGTGTCCAGCAGGGGGCGACAGTCATGGTCCAGCATAGATGTTAGTTTCTCCAGGACCCTCCTGTCCCCCACCTGCTGCACTGTGTCCAGGGAACAGGACAGAGCTGGACTTCCTGATGACCTTGTGTGTCATGGATCCAGTCCAGTTTGCAGCTCAGATGAACACACAGGTACTTGTAAGAGTCCACTCAATGTTCACTGGGGCTAGAGCGGCAGAGTGACGTCTGCGGAAAATCCACCACCATCTCCTTAGTCTCCTTGGTGATGAGGAGGTGGTCCATCTCCTTAGTCTCCTTGGTGATGAGGAGGTGGTCCATCTCCTTGGTGACGAGGAGGTGGTCCATCTCCTTAGTGACGAGGAGGTGGTCCATCTCCTTAGTGACGAGGAGGTGGTCCATCTCCTTGGTCTTCCCCGGGTTGATGAGGGTGTGGTTCCACTGACACCAGTCCACATTGTCCACTGTGCACTCTGATGTGAGGTCAGTAGGTCAACTGCAGCAGGTCCATTGCTGCTTTCACTGAGCGGAGGTGTCCCAGGACCAGCCTCTTTAGATCCTTGGTTTGTCGTACAAACATTCTGGTCCAGTCCCTGAAGTACGATTGTGGGGATATCAAACCTGTTGGTTGAAGGTCTGTGCGCAGTTGCAGCTGTCAAAAGCTGTGCATACAATTTACAAAAGTTTTCTTCTGACTTTGAATATAGGTAACATGACAGCAGAACAGCGATGCCTATAAAAGTGAACCGCGTTATAGCGAACGAAATAAAAAAGATAAAAAGAACCATGTGTAGGGTAAGAAAATTGTAGTGTAGAGCGGCTAGTCTCCAGATCAGAGTCTCGCCGTCCTACACAAGTGGGATCTGAGTTTTATTTTGGGTACCAGCAGAGTTTGAAAGAGTCTGCACAGATCCAACTAATCTGCCTCGAATCAGTCTTACAATCTGATAAGTTGTGAGTACGAAATCAGCCAGGGACTTCAGAAGGATTGGAAACAGGACGCTTAAAGATGATTTGATTTAACGTGGGTTTATTGACTACATATAAAAATAGAAAAATATCGACGAGGAGGGTTTGGTCACATTAAACAGAGATGTTTAAGCACATCAAGTAAATCACACATTGACGTGGCAATAGAACAGTCTTACTTTGAGCAGTCCAGATGAAGAATGGGGTATGAAGAAAAGAGGGATGGCAGTCCACGTGCTCCTTTGTTCGGGCAGGAGGGAGACACAAAGCCAGCGGGTCCAGTCCAACTTTGATCCACACATACGCACGCTGTCCAGAAAGCGCTGTATGCGTAGTCGTCCAGAGAGCCGGAAAAGTGGCTGATGATGGAGCAGTTTGTGGTCTCCGACAGCGGTATCGTGGGCTGTCCTCGCGGAGGTGGAGAGGCCTGCGTGGGTTACAGGCGCGGGTCGAAGTAGGAGACACGTACCCGCTATTGTTACAGTAATTTCAGGTTTTCCAAGAGGATGTTTCTCGGTGCGTCTGGTGGTTTTGTAGCATCCAAAGGAGGCGCGTCCATGACGTCATCCATGTGCGCCTCCCTGGACATCCTTCACAACAGACATGTTATGATTCATAACACATGTACAGGCACACAACGCATTTACATTACTGATAATGATACACACGTGTAGGGCACAGTACAGGTTATCAGAATAATGACTTCACGAGTGATGGTTTAGAATGTCCGTCTCGGGTGTGATAGTGTTCCGTGTCCACTGGGGGGCGTCAGAACGCCGTTGGTGGCTCGCCAGCTGTCCAAAGGCAAGGAATGTCCCCTGGAGTGAGAGCAGACTTTGATCTCTGTTCTCGCCAGGGAAAAAGGGCAAAGATGTTTAATCCCGCGTTCGATTTATTGCTCTGGTTGACGCTTGCTATCTCTATGACCAATGATGGCTCTCTGTCCGACCCTTGTTACTCCTCAGATGTGGCTCAGGAGGGTCATTCCCCGGAGGGCATGTTTACGTATCCTGGTCTGCTGGTCAGCGTCCGACTGGGTGTCCTTTAATTCACCTTACACATGTTTGAATGTTTTGTCAAATAAATCCGATAAAACCAACACCAATCCATGACACCAGACTCCACAGCTTCTTGAAGACAACTTTTTAGACCGACAACAGTCCATAAAAATGATCTGTTTTTCATGACACACAGAAAGATTTCATGTCCCCATTTGGGACATGAAATCTTGGCACTATGGTTAGATCAACAACAACGACAGTCAGAGAGATGATTGAAGGAGAGAAAGTTGTGGGAATGAAGCGTTTAGGAATACAGCACAATATGGCTCTAGTTCAGTCTCAGCTTTCTTAAGTCCTGGGCCGTCTCTCTCTGCAGGATCATTGTCCGATATGAAACGTAATCTGCCTCTGTTTCATGTACAAATCTGTAATATCTTGTAGATTCTTTATGTGGGTAACAAGGCACTTGCCGCGGGCTGACAGATAATACTGTACACAGCACAGCTGACGATCTTTTTTAGTTCTATATTCATATTGGGAGCAAACACAGCTTCACGGACATAATGTTTGCCAAAGCATCAGCCAAATTCACTGAACTTTACACTGCATCGGGCGATAGAGAAAGAAAACTTCTGGTTGAGATGTAATTACCTTGGTAACACTTCCAGCCATCTTCGAACTGTCATACTCAGGGTGACGTGTCATTTATCAGCGGATGGGACTCCAGAGCTGGTGTGGTAGGCCAACGCCATGTACAAAATACATAAAAATCATTCCAAAAATGATACCCAAAGGTGAGAAAAAGAAACAGGACGATTCACAAGAACAAAAAAGAAAAAAGAAAACTATGAAAATGTAAAATTGGCCATAGCCAAGAGAATTAACAACAGCACGTGTGGAGACGGGGCAAGGGTTATCGGACTTCTTCAAGCAGTGGATTAAGGAGGCAATCAGCACAGAAAAAGGAAAACAAAAAAGCCTTTATGTCACAGGTCAGTCTGTGCGACCCGTCAGGTCATCAGGCAGACCACGCCCACTCAGGTACCTGATGACAGGTACCTGATGACAAGTACCTGATGGTTCCAAGGCGGGTCACAAGGAGGAGCTGAAGAACGTGCCAAGAAGATGATTACCACTCTCAAGATGGATAGCACTCTCGCCTCTCAGCAAGAAGGTCCTGGGTTCAAATCCCGGTTGGACCAGGGCCTTTCTGAGTGGAGTTGGCATGTTCTCCCCGTGTCTGCATAGGTTTCCTCCGGGTGCTCCGGTTTCCCCTACCACTAAAAATATGTACAATAGGTCTGGCATGTGCCTCCTATACTGGCACCCCCACTCCCAAAAAAAAAAAAAACAATTGTAAACCGCTTTGAGACTCCGATGTGCAGTGAAAAGGTGGTATATAAATAAAGATTACTACTTACTACTACTACCGGTACATCTAAAAAAATACATAAAATGAATGTGGCAGGTGTAGGTGTGGTCATAGGTGTGGCCAGGTCACATGACCAAGTCTTTAAGAGACAGGCAATCCAGGCTCACTTCCTCTTCCTGAGGCAGCCTGTTCACATCAGACTCTGGAGATCTGAAAGTGTATTATAGATTGTTTTTATATTTGTATTGATTGTATATTTTAAAAATACTTTGTAAATTTTAAGGGTCACAACAGTCCAGTCTTGTAGAGGTTTGCTTTTATAAATCTTGTTTGCATTTTATTACTCATTTTATTAATTGCACTGGGTTTTCTTCATAGGCCCAGTGCTGGTTGCCGTTTACTTTATATTTAGGTTTTGCTTATTTTAGTTTGTGTAGAGTTACTTTGTTGATGGCTGGGGTGACAGGGTTCACTTTAAGTGGTGGCCTTGTTTGTAGTTTTTGGTGGAGGTGGCACATGTATGTTTATGGTGATTTCTGTTGTGGGGATGGATTTCTGTTTACTTTTGTGTTTGCTTTTCATATAGACTGCCCCTCACCCCGGCTTCAAGTTTCACTGTTTTAATTCAACAGTTCCATTTGTTGTTTTTAATAGCGCTATTTATGCATTGTAAATAAAAGCTGCCATAGGGCTGTTGGACCCACACTGACTGGCTTTGTTATTGAAGCTCACCTGCAGTCTACAACACTTTCAAGTGTTACATTAATTAAGTAAAATAAAACCACATAATTTCTTGTCTGCAAGTTGTTCATTTATGTTATATTTTTTATGCTCTGCTTTCTTTACTTTTACAGCCTGTATTTATCATTTTCTTTGACCGATCCAAATAAACGGAGCGGCTACAGATGGTTAGACCTGAGCAGTCGTATCGTCAAAGTCTCAGTGACGTTCTTCCTCTATTCCACCATTTTCTACAGTAAATGTGTGAGGAAGTGTGACCCACAGAGATGAGAGGAGAGAGCTGGGCAGGACACCTTTCCCTAACTTTAACAAACTTGACTCTGTTTAACGCAAAACCAATGATTGTGGAGTAATATATCGTCAATAATAAACATGTTTATACAGTGATGTGATGTGCACCAGTGGGTCCTGACCTGAGCCAGGTGTCTGACCACGTGAATCAAAGAAGCCAAATAGTAAGCAGGCATAAAATATGAAATAGGCAGTAAAAACATAAGCAAAGCGTACAAATAAAAGACAATATAAATGAAACAAATGCGCATTAATTAATTGAAGAATAAATATATATTTTTTGTATTTATTATTTTGGGAGTTTTGGTCCTCCCTAAAGGAACCAATAATAATGAATACATGAAAAACAGACATTCATGGTTTGTAGGAGAGGTTCTCATGGGGCACAGCTGGAGCAGAACAGTCTCCTCTGGCATCTCATCACTGGAAAATGGTCATTGTTGTGATTTGTGGAATGGAGAACAGCAAGTAGAATACTTCAGAAACCCAATAGAGCTTGTGATCACCCAACCACACCTCCCTAACGCGATCTAAAATGAACCATGATCGGCTTCCCACCCACCTGCCTCCCACCGGCGTCCTCTTCGGGCACTTTCTCTATTTATCATTGGGCAAAAGACGGAGAGAGAAGGAGAAGTCTGAAAATGAGAATGGCAGCACAGATATAATTGCTTTCTTGTCTTTTTTGGTTCTCCTCTCAAAAGGTAGAAGCATCGCTGTGAGTGACTGGGGTTATCTCCACAGCACTATCTGCTGAAGAAGCACATTAATGAATAAAGCATTAAAAGTTTAAGCCGGCTGTGCAAGAGGAAAATATACACAGACTACCACGATAATTTAAAACGCCACAATAGCCTCTAAACAATCTGCAAAGCCAAAATATAAGGGCCTCCGGGGCAATGCTTGGAATGTCTTTTATTTGAGGAAAGGAAGACAATGGCACTTGCCTTTCTGTGGTTATGGGCTAATTGATTCATTTAACACTTTTTTTCATTATTCATAAGTGCACCCTTTTTTCCTTCCTGAGGCAATCTTTGTGGGGGAATATTCACCCAGTTGAATACAAATGGATTTAAGAATGTTATATAAACTATACTTAAGTTCATTTGAGGTAAATACACTGTGTATAAAAAGACTTTTGCATAAATTACAATAATTAATCCACAATAGACTTGAATCTTGTTTTTGTTTTCTAGTGTTCATACAATATTTATTTTAAACTCAATTCCCAAAAGGAATTGGCAGGAAACAGACTTTAATACACAGGAGGTGAGAAGAAATGGATACATTTCTAATTTGTAACATTGAGCGCAGACAAAATGACCCGAACAACTCGATCCACCTCTAGAGGAGAATGCAGCGTCAAAAAATGTAGAACAACTTTTGCTAAATCTGGTTTCTCTGTGACGGCCATGAGTCAGTGGAACACACTGCCCCCAGAGATCATTGCATGTACTACATTTAAAACATTTTCTTGGCTTACTGAGAAATGGCTTCTGAAAAAGCAAGTTTGCACACGAGTGACTGAGTGACTGAGTGGGTGAGTGAGTGAGTGAGTGAGTGAGTGAGTGACTGACTGAGTGAGTGACTGAGTGAGTGAGTGAGTGAGTGAGTGAGTGAGGGACTGAGTGAGTGAGTGACTGACTGAGTGAGTGAGTGACTGAGTGAGTGAGTGAGGGACTGAGTGAGTGAGTGAGGGACTGACTGAGTGAGTGAGTGAGTAAGTGAGTGAGTGCGTGAGTGAGGGACTGAGTGAGTGAGTGACTGAGTGAGTGAGTGAGTGAGTGAGTGAGGGACTGAGTGAGTGAGTGAGGGACTGACTGAGTGAGTGAGTGAGTGAGTGAGTGCGTGAGTGAGGGACTGAGTGAGTGAGTGACTGACTGAGTGAGTGAGTGAGTGAGGGACTGAGTGAGTGAGTGAGTGAGTGACTGAGTGAGGGACTGACTGAGTGAGTGAGTGAGTAAGTGAGTGAGTGCGTGAGTGAGGGACTGAGTGAGTGAGTGACTGAGTGAGTGAGTGACTGAGTGAGTGAGTGAGGGACTGAGTGAGTGAGTGAGGGACTGACTGAGTGAGTGAGTGAGTGAGTGAGTGCGTGAGTGAGGGACTGAGTGAGTGAGTGACTGACTGAGTGAGTGAGTGAGTGAGTGAGGGACTGAGTGAGTGAGTGAGTGAGTGACTGAGTGAGTGAGTGACTGAGTGAGTGACTGAGTGAGTGAGGGACTGAGTGAGTGAGTGAGTGAGTGACTGAGTGAGTGAGTGAGTGACTGAGTGAGTGAGTGAGTGAGTGAGTGACTGAGTGAGTGACTGAGTGAGTGAGTGAGTGAGTGAGTGAGTGACTGACTGACTGAGTGAGTGAGTGAGTGAGTGACTGAGTGAGTGACTGAGTGAGTGACTGAGTGAGTGACTGAGTGAGTGAGTGAGTGAGTGACTGAGTGAGTGACTGAGTGAGTGAGTGAGTGAGTGAGTGAGTGAGTGAGTGAGTGACTGAGTGAGTGACTGAGTGAGTGACTGAGTGAGGGACTGAGTGAGTGAGTGAGGGACTGACTGAGTGAGTGAGTGAGGGACTGAGTGAGTGAGTGATGGACTGAGTGAGTGAGTGAGTGAGGGACTGAGTGAGTGAGGGACTGAGTGAGTGAGTGAGTGAGTGAGTGAGTGAGTGAGTGACTGAGTGAGGGACTGAGTGAGTGAGTGAGTGAGTGAGTGAGGGACTGAGTGAGTGAGTGAGTGAGTGAGTGACTGAGTGACTGTGTGAGTGAGTGACTGAGTGAGTGAGGGACTGAGTGAGGGACTGAGTGAGTGACTGAGTGAGTGAGTGAGTGAGGGACTGAGTGAGTGACTGAGTGAGTGACTGAGTGAGTGAGTGAGTGAGTGAGTGAGTGACTGACTGAGTGAGTGACTGAGTGAGTGAGTGAGTGAGTGAGTGAGTGACTGAGTGAGTGAGTGAGTGAGTGACTGAGTGAGTGACTGAGTGAGTGACTGAGTGAGTGAGTGACTGAGTGAGTGACTGAGTGAGTGACTGAGTGAGTGACTGAGTGAGTGAGTGAGTGAGTGACTGAGTGAGTGACTGAGTGAGTGACTGAGTGAGGGACTGAGTGAGTGAGTGAGGGACTGACTGAGTGAGTGAGTGAGTGAGGGACTGAGTGAGTGAGTGATGGACTGAGTGAGTGAGTGAGTGAGGGACTGAGTGAGTGAGGGACTGAGTGAGTGAGTGAGTGAGGGACTGAGTGAGTGAGTGAGTGAGTGAGTGAGTGACTGAGTGAGGGACTGAGTGAGTGAGTGAGTGAGTGAGGGACTGAGTGAGTGAGTGAGTGAGTGAGTGAGTGAGTGACTGAGTGACTGTGTGAGTGAGTGAGGGACTGAGTGAGTGAGGGACTGAGTGAGTGAGTGAGTGAGTGAGGGACTGAGTGAGTGAGGGACTGAGTGAGTGAGTGAGTGAGTGAGTGAGTGACTGTGTGAGTGAGTGAGGGACTGAGTGAGTGAGGGACTGAGTGAGTGAGTGAGTGAGTGAGTGAGGGACTGAGTGAGTGAGTGAGGGACTGAGCGAGTGAGGGACTGAGTGAGTGAGTGAGTGAGTGACTGAGTGAGTGAGTGACTGAGTGACTGAGTGAGTGACTGAGTGAGGGACTGAGTGAATGAGTGAGTGACTGAGTGAGTGAGTGAGTGAGTGAGGGACTGAGTGAGTGAGTGAGTGAGTGAGTGTGTGACTGAGTGACTGTGTGAGTGAGTGAGGGACTGAGTGAGTGAGGGTAATATTTTAGTAGAAGTTGGGGAACTGTATTTATTGGTATTAAATTGAATGTTTTGTGAGGTTATTTAAAGTCTGTAAATGTAAGACACAGTCATGTATCCATCTACATTATAATGTGTTTAAATGAATATAACACCAGCCTGTCCAGGGACTACAGGTGGAAATTAGAAATTAGGTTATAGCAAAGATTATTAAATCTTTGCTATAACCTGGAACAGTGCATCTCTCCTTTGTGTTAATGTTTAATTGTACTGTCCCTGTTCAAACAAAGTACATACCATACCATACCATACATGGACATTGAGTGCTTAAAACAATTCAGTTTCAATGTGTTTGTGTCAAATCCTTCAAAAATTTCACCTTGTTTGGTTGTTTTGGTTTTACTGTGGTGTGAAATAGGGAGAAAGTTTGTTGAGGTAAATTTAGTAAACAGTCCATGGTGGGAAGCAAACACACAAACTGGGACAAAACGAGATATTTAACCGTGTTTAAAAGATTTAGCCCCGCACCAAGAGACAGTGAGCTGAAAACACTAGATAGAACAGGCACAAAACATTTCAATAAATCTCCAAGCATCAAAACAAGTTCTGAAGTAGCCTCTTTAATGTGAAAAACATCTATTTTAGCTTGTTGTAAACAGGAGATGCTCACAGATGCTTTCACATGGGTGTGGATCTTTGGTCAAAAATATGTTATAAAAGCAGATGTGGATCACAGTCTTATGTCCTTTGAGTTTAAAACCACTTTCTATCTCTGGAGTTGTTGTTGCCTCTCGACTGATACCACATCTTGCACGTAATGTATTTTGTAGGAGAAAATGTATTTCCAGCAGCACACTGGCAGGAAGACTGTCCCACTCAAAAAGGTCCCACTCAAATGATTTGCAAACGATCTTCCAGCACATCTTTTTTTTTTATAGATTATTATATGATCCATGTTATTGTTCACAAAGGATCTTAAATAATCCATTATAAAGGATTTTCCGATACAATTACTATTTCGTTTTGCAGTGAATGTGTTATCCCAGGCTTTAGACCCCACATCACCTGTGACCAGAGGTTTGCTGAAATCCTAACCACTACTGCGTGATTGCTTGTTTAATCAGCCTTGTGTGATAGGCTGCCCATCCATTATGTGGCTAATTGGTGTCCTATCACACACTTAAGAGTCTGCGTCATTGCTTCAGATGATATAATTTCCGCCTGAATGAAGAAAGGAGCCGATGTTGTTTTGAGATGGAATGGCCATTAACTCTGAGCTGGTTTGACAAAGTAACCATGGAAACGGCACTGTGTTCATCTGTCTTAATAGAAGATGTGCTTTGGAGGAACTGATACAAGACTTCTCATTTTTCCTTTTCAGATCTCAGTGGGCTCAGGTGTGGGTCTGCCACTGTGTGAAGATTGATATTCTGTCACATAAAGCACCGAGACTCCAGTCGGCGAAAGCTTTAACAAGTAAGCTATTCAAGCCCCTGCACTTCGTTACGTTTGGTTAATTTAGGTTCAAGAAGTGTTGAACTGAAGTCTTGCAACTGATGCTGAAAACATCCATAGTTCTATTTTCTTCTAGTTTGTGCCCTGGCCCATGTCAAGATGCCCAGACTGTCCCAAACACGGTGCATGGCCGCTCATCTGAGAAAACATGTGAGAAGAACATGAAAAAATAGGGTTAGAGCAGGTAGCCTGGCTCTTGCCAGACCCTTGTAGTTCCGCCATGCTCCACCAGAGGCGTTTCGCTGGCGCAGCGATCTACAAGGGTCTGGCAAGAGTCAGGCTAAGAGCAGGGCGTGGTGTTGGCATGTTCTCCCCATGTCTGCATAGGTTTCCTCCAGGTGCTCCGGTGTCCCCTAGCTCCATAGCTCCCCTGACACTGAGGCTTGGACTCCCTGGTTAAATACATGAATAGTACTGCAGGGACTGTACATGGTCTTGGTGTTTTTGTTGTCTTTGAAAATCAAGATATGAACAGTAGTGAACTCAAAGGTCAAAATGAGCAGAGATAGAACCTTCAAAACGTTACCTAAGTAACCATGGGTACCAGCGAGGGGCTCATCTGTCTTCAACAGGAACGGCCTCACAGAAGAGTCTTCCAACAGTGTGGTCCCACACTTTCATATCACACACAGCACAGAAGTGCAAACTCCTGCTCATTTGGCTCTATAAAGATTTCATGCCTGGCTTCGCATCAGTTTACTTAGTGGAAAAACCCCGTCCCTGCAGCCATTTAGCCCCACATTTGCCCCCACCCATGTGTATTCTCCAGATGAAATTGAGGCAAAAAAGGGAGCGTGAGTAGATTTTCTCGTTGGCCTGGCCCATGTGAAGTCGAAGAGACTGTCATTATGCTGTTCAGTGGAGCAGCAATATCTTGAGCTGCTCGGGGACATTGGGGGCCTCACCGGAGCAGACCTGCTCCCCACATCCCCCCATCTCCCCCCTGCACCTGCCTACCTGTCTGTGTGCATCCAATATTCAGTGTCCAATATCACACATACGGCCACCATCAGTTGTTTCATCTTTAGCCATTAAAGGGAAAGACATCATGGATCTTTTTTGTGTGGCTTCAAGTCATGACATACAACAGTGTTGCACAAGTGTGATACTGTAAAGCCCATGTTCAAAGATATTTCTGTGTATTCAATTAGGTAAATATTGCTTTATGTAGCCCCAACCCGAGTCGTCTGCAGCAAATATTGTGATTTCAGTGCCCTGAACTGGCTCCAGTCCTTCTGTGTAGAGTTGTATGTTTCTCTTACATCTGGGTCCATCTCTTGTGCGTCTTAACAGTAATTGTGTTACACACTGCTGCACTTCTAACAAAATATTTGTACATGTTTAGTTTGTTTTTCTAAAATTATCATCATCCATAAACATGGTGTGTTGTAAAACCTTTTTCAGTGGTTTTGTATTAACGTTGAAGGAAAACACAACTATTGAGCAGTATTAATGTACAGTAGGTCACAAAGAACAAGCACTAAAGACTGAAGCATTCTTTACAGAACAACTCTCCTTTCATCCAACAGCGTCCTTTATGATTCATTCATTCCCTGTTCTAGTGCCATAAGTACATTGTAGGATTTACTTAGTGAACAGCTTAACCTTACCTATCCTTTTGAAATACACTTTGATGCTACTAACGTAGTTGACAGATTTGAACACACTTCTGCACACAAGCTCTATTTAAATGTTGATTCTGTTTCCTCTGTACAGAAGCTGCGGGCCTTTCTTCAGTGAGGCAGAGCGGCAGATAATGGAACTTACACTGGACTATCTCAAGGCTGTTCTCCTCACTACCCATAATGCAGCTGCACGTGTAAAAGGTGTGCACACAAAGAAACCTTCTGCCTCTGTCCTTGGTGCCTTCCTCATTTCACCCAGCCCATTTTCTCACCCTTAAACCTCACAGAAGTAGCAAACAGTGGCTAATTTTCATCTTATTTTATATAATCCAAAACATCAGTGTGTGTGTCATCAGTGTGTGTCTCATCAGTGTGTATCTCATCAGTGTGAGTCATCAGTGTGTGTCTCATCAGTGTGAGTCATCAGTGTGTGTCTCATCAGTGTGTCTCATCAGTGTTATTCTCATCAGCAAACGGAGGCCGGTGATTGGTCGAACACAAGGGCAGAAACGTTTATACTATTATTTGATCCATTTGCCTAATGATAAGTGGAACTACTATAGTGTGGGTTTTCTGAAGAAACACAATAAAGACTTATGTGAACCTGTCAAAATGTAAGTGGCCAAACTTGAATGAGATCCCACCAGACCACTGAAGTTGTGCAGGGCAGGGCCTGGTTAGTACTGTGATGGGAGACCTCTGAGAACACCATGTGCCACAATGGGGCGGCTGCGGCTGTAAAGTGCCAAACTGTCGTAGTGTCATTAGGCAAGACACTTCACCCACATTGCCCAGAATAAATCTGGTGTATGTGTGTGAATGGTTGGTGGTGGTCGGAAGGACCGCATATTGGTTGCCTCGCTTCTGCAGTGTGCCCCAACGCAGCTGTGGCTACAGCAGTAGTTTATCACCGCTGTGTATGGAGTGAAAGAATAAGGATGTGAAGCGTCTATGTCCTGAGAAGCACTATATAAACCTGATCCATTGTTATCATTATTATTATTATTATTGTGGCACCAGAAAACCTGGTAAAGATGAACTTGGAGCAAGATGTTACTTAAGCATCATTTGAACATGAGGAGGAGGCCTGTGTCGGTAAAAGTGCAGTGAAAGACAAAACAATCAGGCTGAAGTTGGAAGGAATCGACCAAAAGCCTGCAGCCTGGTTCTTGTGTAATCCGATTACATTAGCAGCATCAGTCCACTCGGACCTGTCAGTCTCTCTCCATTTATTAAAGACACTTAGTAAAATGAGGATTAGCAGAGGAGGCTCGCTAGCGGCTAAGTCAATTGTTTATCCACGGGAGGCAGAGATTACATTTAACAGGATGAAGTGGCTCAAATGTGGCTTATAAGGGACATTTAGTGGGAATACAAATAAACATGCCTCATTCGAGCAGATTGATTTATTCTGTGTTTTGTCCCAAGTGTTAATCTTAGCCCAGTGCAATGACCAAGTGAATCCCCCCTGATATCTACTGCTCTGTTAGAAAGTACAACGTGTGCTAGACGCGGGGAGATTATTGCCCAGCTGTAATCACATGTTTTATGGCTTCACTTTTTTGACATTCATTTTCTTAACAGTTTGCCACTTTGACAGCCTCAAAATGTTCCACAGGGTGTAGGATGAGACTGAATGTTGCCTCTGGATGAATGCAGGGGAACAATATAATTATAATATATCCATTATACAGTATATTGGTTCAATAATTGTCAAGGTTAGTCCGAAAATGTCTAAATCAATATTTGGAATTGTATTGATCTGAAAATATTTTGTAACACATGTATGTATTTCTGGGACATTGTATAGATTGGATTTCTACGTTGGATTGCCAAAATATCAACATTGTTATCTGAACCCTGGTGTTCAAGGTGACTGTGTAATGTCTGCACTGGCATATGTTGATAAATGTTCACTGAAACACACTAACTTCAGCTTGTACATTCAGAAAAAAGTTGTATTTCTCCCATTGCACCTCTTAACTATGGTCCATGACTCAGATAATTGCTGTTATTAATGCTCCAGTGAGTGAAATGAGACATTGTATACAGCCTTGGGGACAATGACAGTGATATTAAATGTGCTATTGAAGAGCACTCCAGCTCGGCCTGTTTTACTCTAACCCTTGTTCTAATCGAACTGAAGGTCTGCTGCAGAGATGCGCTCCTCAATGCCAGTAATTGAGTTATTAGTCCATTTTATAGAGCTGATTAGACATGATTGTCCCACAGCTCATAGGCTATACTTTGAGACATGGCAGACAGCTTGTTTTCAATGTGCTTACTCTCTGCATCATGTGAATATAGCATCATCATGTTCTTTTAAACTTTCCTTTGTGAACTTTAACAGTGTTGCTAATAAGAGCTTTGTTCTAAGTCTATATGGTCATGAAGAAAGGATTAGGCTGCAGAATCAATGATCAAGAGTATTTACTTTGGCAGCTGTGCATTAGATTCAAAGGCCAAAGTTGTTTCTGAAATCTTAGTGTCCAGTGCATAACTCCATGTAGGTAAGGCATAGTAATCATTTCCAAGGTAAAAACAAAAACTTTCCAATTGACATAACCTAAGTATATATTGTAGCTCTTAGTTGCTATTGGAATATATGTATATGTGTATTTCTAACAGTCAGTTTCTAAGAAAAATGAAAATGGTATAGTACCTACTCTTGGTAAAGTCACAGCCTTTACTATTTGCTGGAGAACAGTTTGACCAAAACCTTTCATTATGGGGGCCACTTTATTTCTTCTTAGCTGTAAAATGAGGCATGACATCTCTATATTGGCTCACATTTAAGGAGCTGAAGCTGGCTGAATGACAAATGTTTACTCAGCAGCTACATTTGTGCCAAAAACAAATATCAAAAACAGTATTGGGGGCGACAGTGGCTCAGTTGGTAGAGCATTGGCCTTTGAGCCTGAAGGTCGTGGGTACAAGCTCACCACAAGACCTACTTCACGACTCCCACTGATGACTGCTGTCGTTGTGTCCTTGGGCAAGACACTTAACCCCACTTTGCCTGAAGCCCCCACTGCAAGATCAGGGCTTCTGTGGACTCACCACCTGCAGGAGGATCAGTGAGGGGCTGGTGCTTTGTGTACTGGGTCCAGCTCTGACTGCCACCGCCCCGACTCAGAAATGGATTAAGGGGAAGAAAATGGATGGATGGACAAATATCAGTACAGTCAAACAAAGTCAACGGCTGGATTCCTGAGATCCTGTGCTTTACAATGAGTTATAACATGCCTACGTTGGCAGGGCAGAAGTTGGCTGGATGACTACTTTGGGTTAGCAAGGCATAGGGCCAAAAAACGTGACGCCCAGGGCTGCAAATAGGGGGAAATCCCTGAGAGGGGCAATGCCTGAGAGGATTTGAATTTATCAGAATCTAAATTTGTTGTATTGCCATTGTCAACAGAAGTAACAAACTAGATATACAGTACAGACCAAAAGTTTGGACACACCTTCTCATTCAAAGAGTGTTTTATTTTCATGATTATGAAAATTGTAGATTCACACTGAAGGCATCAAAACTATGAATTCACTCATGTGGAATAAAAAAAAAAAAAATAGTATGATTCAACTGTAAATGTCTTATATTCTGGGTTCCTCAAAGTAGCACCTTTTGCTCTGATACTGCTTCACTTTTGGCATTCTCTTGATGAGCTTCAAGAGGACCTGAAATGGTCTGAATTCCCATGATGCTTAGCACTTGTTGGTCCTTTCGCCTTCACTCTGTGGTCCAGCCCCAAAACCATCTGGATTGGGCTCAGGTCCAAAACCATCTGGATTGGGCTCAGGTCCGGTGACTGTGGAGGCCGGGTCATCTGGCCCAGCACCATCACTCTCCTTATTGGTCAAAAATCCATTACACAGCCTGGTGTGGATCTACAGTCAATAGTCATGAAAAGAAAGGAAACTTATTGAGTGAGAAAGTGTGTCCAAACTTTTGGTCTGTACTGTACAAGACTAGATATACACTACAAGATATAAAATAGACATAGAGGCATGGTACAGTCTTAATACAATTCTAATCTATAAATACACACTATGTTTGTAGATGAATGTGGCTGTGGGTGAGAGCCCGAAGACATGGGATAAAGGCTTCAAGAACAGCATTAGCAAAATTCTCTATGGAAACCGATTTCATAATGTACCATATACAATTTTCACACAACTTCAACACAAGCAAAATATGACTTGAACTCAATGTTTATAGCTTTAATAAATGTTAATAAAAAGACAATTACTTGTATTTAATTGACTCGATATTCTCCACAGTGCACGTTCAAATTAAACTATTCTCCACTCTCTTGAAGCTTAAGAGAAAAGCAAGCAACGGGCAAATAATTAGCCGCACAGAGCGCCCGACTTCCCACTGCGCTGGAGATAAGCCCACGCTGGAGTTTGAGCAGTCGCACACTCTACCTTCTGATCATTATTAACAGAAGAGCCCCGCTGTGAGCAAGCTACTGCAGGGGCAACACAAACGCAAATACAAAACTCAAGAGCAGTTTTACTGTACCAAACACTGCCACTGACGGATAGTTGACCTTCAGCCGTTCGCAGTGAAGACCCGCTCATGCTGTTTGTGGAATGTGTGCGCAGAAATAGTTTTCACTGTTTGTATTGTGGTGGAAAGAAATACAATAATATACACAGGATTCTACTGCATTTGAGAAAGTAAAATATTATCCAACGTTAGCCATTTGAGAGAATATGTACTATTAAGTTATAATTGGAAGTCTGGCTGAAAATAGTGTGGCATTAAGAGTTGATTGAAAGTATGAACAAAGAAAACAATAAATAATTTTTTTCCCCTCTTTATGCATTGCTCCGTTGATCTCGCATGGCGTCAGAAAAAGGACGCAGTGGAAGGAGCCCTGGTATCCTGGTGCACACTGGGGTAATCTTGCACAGCTTTTCCAATGTGGTTTTAATGCAAATGGAAAATCAATTCTGAATCTTGAATTATCTTGCTGGGTTGTGGAGACTGCCATCTGTGCAGACTTGAGGCAGTCCCCCCAGACCATGGTTTATACACCATGGTCTGGGTCTTCTCAGGGATCTCTCTCCGGTAGACAGAGGAAAGAAAAATGTGTAACAAAGTTTGCAATGTATTTATTATCTGG